CAAAATTTTAAATTAATAGCATGTGTAAAATATTTTTTATTGGTTGGAGGAATTTGAGCCATGTCAGATTTGGATTCTAAGCCCCATGACAAATCAGCACTTGTGTTGGCAAAATAGGAGAGGTAAAGATAATTTTTTATGGAGTAATTATCTTCTTGATACAGAAAGGGATAATGGGAGCTAGAAAATAGGAGAAGATCACAGTTAAAAAGGGGGTTTTATCTTATAAGAGTACAGGTGGTGAAATCTATAAGGGGATTAGACAAGGTCAAAAGGTGAGGTGTCCCACTACTTCAAAAAACCACCTATGATTGAGTAACTGTAGAAAGTGGAAGTTACTGCCGGCACAAGGAGAACAAAAAGGAAATTTTTGAAAGGAAGAAGACACGACCAGCCCTACTCAAACAACTGCAAATTTTCATACTTTGATTTTCTCTGCACATGCTTCCAGATTTCGGATTTCAGCACAGATTCCATTAGAATTAGGTTGTTTTTCATCATTCCAATAGGCAAATTAATTCATGTATTCAGTTCAACAATTTTCTTTCATGCAATGAACTTCAATCTTTCAAATTTATGCAAGGTATTGTTCTCTTTCCATTTGCAATTAATTTAATGTTTATGATAAGTAGCATTTTATTCAATGATTACTTATGTGGTGTTCATACCTCTTCTCAACCTCAAGCATGGTAGTTTAATTACTGTTCACGTTAATTTTAATGTTAATTAGGATGAAGTCTTTAATTCTGCAGCATTTTAATTTCCAGATCTGCCATTACATAGCATTTTAATTTAACAATGAACATGTTTAGTTTAATTTCGGTACAGCTTTTTCTCGCAAACTTACTTTAAATTGCAGGTTATTTAGTTCAATTAGGATTTGTTAATTTTAAGTCACGGTAGTGTTTAAGTCCTTGAAGTTGTCCAAGGCAGATTTCGTAACCCATTCTGCAGGAAAGTATCCCTCCCTTTTGCAAATCGTCTAAAGGCGCAAATTTCATTTTAATCCAACGTTCTTCCCGCCATCTACAAAGAGGTCGACCGTAAGGAAGGAGAGGGTCATTGGAAAAGTCCTCCTTTCTTACTTTCAGCAAAATAAGCGGCACGTCCGCATCCAGATTTCACACGTGCGAAGCCACTAGAGGATTTTTTGAGGAAACAACTGTATAAATTTATATTATAGCATATACTCCATTATTGATTCTAGCTTAATCGTCATGTTGAATGTGCTCTTTTCACATCTTCAGCCTTAGTGATAGTGACGGTTAGAGGAATAGATAAATGCTGATGACCCTTTTTTTTCAAAATTAAGGGATTTTACCGAGGAAACTATACATCACATGCCAAGAAATTGTAGTTGCAAGGAAAAGATGTCATGGAAACGCCACCACCGTTGATATTTCTTCCAAATTAAGTAATTAGTAAAAGAAAAGCCTTCCGAAAGAAAAATGAAAAGAGAGGCTCTATTTAGAAAGAAAAAGAGAAGGATAAAAGGAAATGGCACAGCAACATCCATGTAATTTAGAAAGCGTCCAAAAACATACAGAAGGTGGAACAGTAGATTCCGATAATAGCAAGTGGCAAATTCAGTTGCATATTTCTTTTACTGTTACCGTTATATTTTTAAGTTTTTTTAACTTATTTCTTGGGTATAATTATAATTATTTTAAATTTTAATCATTAAGTTATATATATAATGTAAACATTATTTTTAATTTAATTAATTAATTAATTA